TGATTACCGCATCTAGCGGAAGATAATACCCTTCTCAAAATGTGATACAGGCAAATGAGTAAATGTGATGACTGCCATTTGAAAAGAGATCAACAAAACAATTGAACATATGTTCAGGCTCTGATGAGAAGTTTTTTTAATGAGTTATGACACATTCATTTTCAGGATATGAAATTTGTGGTAAAGAGTATTTTTTTGTATTTCACTTACCTGAATGTTATTTATCAACAGAACTTTTCGAAAAGGGTAAGCGACATTAGAAACAAGATCGACTACGACGTGTGTTTAGGTTTCAGAGTGGTCCGGTGTAGTGTAATTTTCTCTGTCATGACATGGCTATATTTATAACACGAATTGTAATAAAGAATCGCTTAACTTTTAGTCACCGTTTCAATAACCTGTCGATGGCAATATTGTATTTGTTTTTCAAGTATTACAAACTTTCTTATTATAAAAAATAAGTAGTACTTAACTCATTATTGATGGAGGATTATACGCATAAAAGAAATGTCTACATGTTCTACCGATGTTGTTTGCTGGTTACAGATCAACTCTTGTTTACAAGCTCGATAGACAAGGGAACAGATGTAAGTATATATGTACACCTTATATCACTGATTGACAGGGTTGTTTAATTTTCGCTCAAAATATTGATTAAAGTTGTTACTTGGGTTTTTTTTATTGATATTTAATCTAGTGGATAAGAGATAAGAGATGTAATACATGTGCTACTGTTTGTTAAACGTACAAATCATTAATGTATAGAAGGACCAACGTTTTTGATGTTTTATTAGCGAGATAAAATTTCTTTCAAGTTTAAATATATATCATGGTCTATGTTTTGGGTCGATAGCATATGCATGTACACTTGTAAATAAACACTTGTGACTTGTGAGATGATTCATATATGCTTTAGCATGTTGCCCTTTTCATGCCAGCTCTGTTTGAACTTGATATCTTTACAGTAACCATGGAAGTCACACAAAGTGTTTAGTGATTTAAACAACAATCAGGCTGACAATGAATTATCTGTAGTATTTTAACTATCCCTGTATGTTATGAATGAATCGTGCCCCCGTGTTGTCATAGCTGACAATTCCCAAGTATCGATGACGACTATACAAAGAACCTACAACCATACACATTTAATCGCATGTCAAGGGTATTTTCCTAGTTTTCTAATTTTTCCTGAGCGAATGACGAATGAATCTGCACCATGGTTCTGCAACAAACTAATTTACCGTAAGTACATCCGACAGAACCATGTATTTATTTCTTATTTTGACTCCACAACATAATCATTTTATATTTATGTAATTGTTGTTATTATCGAAGGGCTGTACGATGACACAGACAGGATACATAGACATCCCTTGTTTCGTTATGTTGTTTGCTCCTGCTGTAAGTTTGCTGTTGGTAAGTATTTTAGAGAAATCTTTTCAATAAAGATATAAAATATATCAATATAATGATAGGCAGAAACAATGCCTAAGTTTGTTGTCATAGACCCAGGGATCACAAACTTCCGTGGTATTTACAAAAATGAAGTTCTTTGTTTTGGCATATTGTCTGTCCCCGTCATATGCTTATTAGTAAGTTATTTGGGGACTTTTGAAGACATCGCTTTATTGTCTCTTTTTACACCCTGTTTTTGTGACATATTCACGCACGTAAAATTATATTTTCATTTTTTCATCATGCTGCTTCCATCCCACTCACCCATAGCGAAATGGGTAATATCTATCTTGATCAGGACAATATATCTGATTGTTACAGAAAGATATCTAGTGTAATTTACAAAGTCAGAACCGTATCATAGAGGAAAACATTAAATATAATGTGTTTTTCTTTATTTACATGAAATAGAGTATACTCCAGCAAATAACTATGACAACCAGCCTGTTAGTATGTAATCTTGACAAATGTGCCGTTGATCTATATAGTACAAGCCATTCATGGGAGCATACATCCGCGATTCATGTCATGATCGACAATAATAAAAACAACTTTAGACACAGTGCATATCCTTCTATTTTCAGAGGAGAATATATCGCAACGGGGTTGTGTTTTTGTTTTCAATAATAGGCTGAATAGTACTATATGTATTACTCTGTCCGGCAATTCACCCTATCATCTTAGCCATAGGTGATGGAAGATGCATTACAATAATTTCGGTAAGTGGATTTAATGAAGTGTCTATGAAAACCATTTTGGAAGGTCCTTTTCTCATCTGGAGGGTTCTTGATGTGGCCGTGTTGTACGTTGTAGATATTTCATTGGCAGCATTTGTTAGTTATCAGTTCCTACGACGTTGTTGGAACTCTTGAAGGCATTTTGTATTTGGCACAGAACGTTGCTGCTGCATTCCTACTACTAGTCCCAGGATATGTAGGAAAATAAATCAGAAATATCAGTATTTTGTAATGTTATTATTTTCAGCATTCCTATGTACACAGACTTATACCACGGACTAATTTTTCAATGATTATGATTTTCTAAAAAAACATAATGTAATATATACAAAAGTTATGATTAAGAATCTTGGTTTACTAATAAGATTATTTTGATCCATTGCCTTAGTCTACTTAGGTAAGGAATATGTGTACAGGTAAAATAACACATGTATGATGCAGTTTAGGTCTTTATTGAATATAATTCTAAACGAGTGTGAAAGGTACTATTCATTTTTGGTTCTTTTGTATCTTTTATGATATATGTGTTTTATTTCAGGCATGTACTTTAAACTAGAATAGGCAAGTGGAGGAAATCTAAATCAACAGAATTTCTGTCAGGAATTCAATCGTCGAGCAAGTATTCCTGAATAATTGACTGTCGCGCCATGTTAATATGTTGCTTCGCTACGTTTGATGTGTAATACGCAATATTTTATTGTAGGTTACGACTACAGATTATAGAATAACTGAATTCATTATGTTTCCACAACATACTAACTTCAAGCGGTGTAAATTATTGATATTTATGATTTAAATACAAGTTACATATTGAAGACAAGTGCCCAATTACTCCATAATGTAATTGGTTATTAATCAATCACTTGGGTTTATTTCCTGTAATCGATTACTCATTACATGTAACATATTACAGTCAATTACTTTACCAACTGTAATTGTCATCTTGTATCTTTAAATTAGTATTAATAGTACAGACAAATATTTATTGATTCTCAAAATTAATGACAATAGTTAGATCTAGTCTGTGGCAGAGAAAAAGGATGAGTGATAATTACTATAGAACCAACTGATAATAACGTTATACGATTATAATTTTGATGCATGACATTTGACCATCTGAACATCTTTACCTATATGGTTTTGTACACTTCGAAATATAAATAATGCTTTCATTTTAGTTATGTTAGACAGTTCATGTAGACTGAAAATAATTTTTTCCGGTCTGACTTCTTACAAAGCACACTCGCAATGTAAATCTTGGTCAATCCAAGTAAGAAATGTCACGTTAAACAAGCAAATGAACGCATCAAACACATCTAGTTTCACATAAGGCAGTAAAATATTTCTCAATGAGATGATCATGACTCAAACCTTCCACAAAGTTTTCATCAACTTGGTTCTTTTGAAAGTCTGTGTTATGGGTATGTCTTCCCGTTGTCGACATCTTCCATGAAAGCCTTTATTTCAGGAACAGGCGCTTGAATATCAAATTACCTGAGACACAAAAAATTGTGTGAATGTTGCAATCCAGGAATAGAAAATCACAATTAGAATTGAAATCATCTCAATTAGTATGCAATGACCTGGAAATTAGTCCAAGTTCATGTCTTTGTAATAAAAGGTCAGCTTAAGCGCCTGATAAACACGTGTCAAGTCTGTCTTGTCCTTGATTTCTATTTTGGTTGGTATATGCTATGGATATGGTCAATAAATCTCTTGTTATTAAAAGATAGACGTCATCAATATATCTGAAAGTGAAATTGGAGGGATTTACAAGAATAGATTACAGAGTGTTTAACTATTGAAATATCTTTCTTTTTAATTGAAGAACATTGAAAGGATATTTTTTTAATGCATTTCCTCAATATAAGCAAATGTTATATATGTTATTGTCTACCTGTATTATATACACTCAGTCGTGCAATAAGCTAAAGCCAACTTCTGATGACGTTGAATTATGATTTATCGATACGGGCGATTTGCATAAATGATGTTCGAACAATTTATAAATTAATCACACCTATATAGATCATTATTATTCTGTTAAAATCACAAACTTTTGATGAATTTTGAAACATCCCACAGTTATTTTGACATGGAATAACGAGACATTTACATGTCTTGCATTCACCTAACATATTTCTCATATCTCGATTAATTTTGGTATAGAACTACATATGTTACAAAGTATTCATAAGTGTTTAAGTATGTTTGTTCTAAACCCGTATTGGTAAGTTAACAAGTTTCCATTCTTTAGTTTAAATTATGAAAAATAGCATGGAAAAGCTTGACAAAAACATGACAAAGAAATCATGAGATAAAACGAATCAAATTAGTGTAGATGTTCCGTAATTAAATGTTGAAACGGAAATCTTTTTTAATAAGACGTGGGTACAAAGAATGTAACAAAATGCACACAACAGTGACAGTTTAACCTGATATCCATACAAAAGTTAAAACAATTTCCAAACGAAAATGTGCACCGATCTTTAGCCTTCACCTTCGTCTGCATTATTTTTTAAACCAGAAACACGTGATGTCTGATTGTTCGTTCCCGAAAATCGTGGCATTTTGATATATCTTAATATGGTCATTAAAGTTTGACATATTCTTAAATCATGACTTCGTTTTAAAGCTCCAACCTTATACCACTTTAAGGCAGAATATCGACACGTTGAAACAGGTAACAGTGTTAAGTTTTGATTTGTTTGGTAAACACTCTAACATGCTCTACATGTAAATTAAGACACATTCAGACAGCCATATTGTTTGTAAAAGGAAGAATGATCTTCATCATTCAGCAATATGTTAACTGGTAGCTTCGCCATTTATACTTTTGTTAGTTTCGTTCCCCTCATGTCCATTTGGATAATCTGCTACTCCGCTACCAGTTTTCATACTGCCATCACCAACGGGACTTTTCTCTGTCATGTCCATTTCTATGGCTTTCTGTAGTAAACTACTTTTTTCGTCAGTCTTGTGTTTCCATCTCCCCAAACGTTGATTAATTGCACATGTCTGTATTTTAAAGAAAATACATGTATATGAAATGATATGGAGATATAGCCTATAAAGTGGTAAACATTCCCTTGTCATCAACAGTATATTTTCAGTAAATGTGAAACCGTCTACTTTGAAATGTAATTACTGTCTGTCACGAGTTACATCTTCTAATTCCTGTCCTGTCAAACATGTGCTTTAGTTACAGTTTATCTCTTGATGTAAGTAGACTTTATCTCCCTGTCTTTAGAAATACCATTTTCACGCAATATCTGCCCAACTTCTTTAAAAACACTTAATAATAAATAATATACATAATTATACGATCCAGACAAACAACACGTTTTCTGCTAAAGCAATAATTGACCTATTTTAATTACATGTATACATATATCCATGATACTTGATGTATTTAAACGACCACACGTCATTAGTAATCGCTGTGTCGTTTTAATAAAAACAAACCTCTTTAAACACGTGATCTATTAGAGTTCATAAACAGTTAAGAATCGCATCATCAATGTCATTCCGTAAATAGTTAATGGACTTATGGAAGTAACAGTTTTTAATCACGTATCAAATAAAAATCATATATCGTCAAGACGATTCTTTCTAAGTTGCTTAGAGAAATATATCATTAAGTGTAAGATCATTAATAAGTAGAAACATTCTATATCATTGATGAACTATACTTACGTCATTAATATCCCAAACATTGAGAAGTATACCACAGAGAACTGATAGTGACGTCAGCATTACCAGAGCCAAGAAGAAATCATGATATCCCTCTAGTGGATCTCTTATTCCATGTCTATAAACACACAAGTACAGAGCTCATTTTAACACAAATTTAGCAGTATATGCCAGTCAATCAAGGAAACGTCTGGCTTTCATGATTCACGTGTAAATATAGGGGCTGAAAGAGTGAATATCCAGAAACTAGTACAATCTACATTGGCCGATACAATTATTGAAACATACACGGTGAGATGTATGAGGTGTGATTTACTTTTCTTTCAGATTTCAGGTTATAACGACTGTACACGAACTCCAGTTACACTAGTATATCATGAACCGCCCACATTCAAAGTAAAGCAGTAAAATCAATCCCGGCAACATTTCAATTTCAACAGATTGAACAAAGATAGAAAACAGAGATCCAGCATAAGATAGAGTTCAAGCTAAACAATTAATTAAACTTTATCATACAGCTGTAATGCCTAATTAAAACACGCGTGGACATCCAGAAAGCGAGAAAGGTATGCCAAAATAAACCGAAACAAATACCACGGAAAAGTTAAACGGTTTTCATAATGATAGCATTGGGGAATATTTCCTCATGTAAAATGTTCTTTATTTTGTTGTCTGTAAACGTGACATTATTACTTGTACTGATCCAGATTTACATGGCGGATGACATCGATGAAGCAGAAGACGCCTTATCTTCAAAAAACAGTCATTTTAATAACCTTATAATTTCATTCATGAGTCTCCTTGCATTTATTCATATTTTTATTCATAGTTTTATCGAGTTGACATGTTGGTGTTTTCTTAATTGTTATTGAAACACAGTTAAAGGACAGAGATATGCATATGTCGTATTTGATGGGTGTTTGAACTCTCTCCTAGGAAGGTTGCCTCCCTTCCATTGACAAAAAAAATCAAAATTAAAAGTCGCATTTTTGTTAAAAACAGTTGTGAGAAAAACTGCACACATAACGTATTACCATTAGTACTGTTTGCAATTAATTTCAGAAAAGTGGTGGCATAGTTACAAGTGTTTAACAAAACTTAATGTCGATCAAATTGCTTATTATATATGTTTATTTCATGATGGCTGATTCTACAGGTGCTTTTTCGGAGACAGTTGGTTAAATCTTTCTTTTTATTAACTATTATCGCTTCTTTTATCGCTTCTGGTAGAGGCGATTTGCCGTCCGCCTGTTTGTTTTTTCAATGGCATTTTAGTTGTCTACATTGTCCTTTTATCATTAAAACTAGTTAGTGATAGGCTTTCCCTGTTTCGTACATTTTCTTTACAAGTAATACCACAGTCTATTTATACGTACATGTCATGTTTCTGTAGTAAATATCCATCCAGTAGCAGTGTGAGACCAATCACAACGTTTCTTACGAGATACATAATCCCAGTTACCGTGCCAAAACAGGAACGAGGCACCAACAACACCGCTACCTGCCACATTCCCAGCTGAAACAACCAATAGTTATCCTTGTGGTTAAATTGAGCTATATGCAATCAGAATGTGCAGAAAAATATCGTTTGAATTTTTATTTTTATTTTATTTATTTATTTTTTTTTTTTTTTTTTTTTTGGGTGGTGGGGAGGTGGTGTTTGTTTTTGTTTTTGTTTTGTTTTTTGGTTTTTTTGTTTTGTTTTTTGGGGGGGTGGGGGTTGTTATTCATTTAAAGCCGGTATCGTATCAATTTTAAAGATGGGAATTAAAGCAATACTTGCCTCGGTAACACAATTTGCAAATCCCAGGCTAATGGTGAGGAAAAGTGGATGGACGGAGTGACAAAATCCTAACAACGAGAAAACTGGTACGATCGTCACTGCAGCACATGTCACTAAAATTCCAATGCAGTCTATCTTATTCTGAAAACAGTATGAACAAGAAATATTTCAACAACGTTCATTTTCGTATATTTTCGAAACGCTGATGAGTACATATCACGCCCCATTTAAACAGTTTACAGAAATGGTTAAACAATACCTTAATAAGCTACTAATGATATGATGGTAAAGATGACCACAGTGAAACATATACCCTAGATGGTTTAATTTGACGATTTTAGTATTGGTAGAACATAGAGCAAAATTATGCCGATCAGTACTCGCATCTGACGGGTCACATATAACTTGATTCTAACCGAATCATTTACATGACAATGAAACTCGATCTCTGTCACGTTGAATTACAACAAATTGCGTATTCGTTTTTGTTTTCTTTGGCTCTCCATTTGATCACAAGTTTAATTTTTTTTTTTTTTTGTTATGAAAACATCTGAATTACAAAACAATCATTTACTTCTACTACATAGACAATGTTACATATCCAAAACTTGATTTGTTGATAGTTATCTAATGAACCTTGTCTTAAATAACAACGACATGACAGAGTCATAAACTGGCTGCCTGAACCTACGATTTGAGAAATAATCACTGCAGTTTTTACTAACTTATCACCTCCTCCATGTGAAAATTTAGAAACTGACAAATGTAAACAAAATCACAATTAAAAGACTCAAGTTTATTAATATTAATAATTATAATATTCTAGAGACTAACCGGTCAAGAGTGGTCCATACTCTACGCTAATTGTATACTCATGACTTGATTTTGACTGGCGTGAATAACAGCCATAAAACAGTAAAATGATAAAAGTGGTTACAATTGTGAAAATCGTACCAAGGCCATAGCAACGAGAGGACCAACGACGAAAGGCAGCATTGCCGAGCCGGTGATGTACGAAGACGTTGTTGGGGAAAATCCGTATTGTAACAGTAAATACTCCCTGTAACGAACGGATCAGGACATATCATAATACTGCATGACTCACAGTCAGACAGAGTGTAAATTCATGCTTATACTCAAATGATCACATTACCAGAACCTCGTCATCATTTTAGGGAGTAGTGGAGTTATATTCTTATAAAATGTCAAAGCACATGTATATTGCTATACATATAATACTATATCATCTTGATGCTTTTTTGTGTTTCACAACAAAGTCAATATATCCAAACAAAATAAAAACAAAAAACAAAACATTTTGCCCAAATGATCGAGTTTCATAAAACGCCTTGTTTGCTTTCAAAATTACTTTTCTTGAAAAATACAATTATTTTGTAAAATTCAAATTCAAAACAAAACACATTCAATCCATGATTTGTATATTTTATCATGAAAATGTGCCATGTAAAATAAATTGATGTTTTAAATCAAATGACAAGTATCAGTTTGTGTGTCAAAAATCTATTATTTCATTCTATCATAGCTTTGATTGCCATGGATATTGCAATTTTCGTGAGCTAACATATGTCGATCCGGTCCTTAAGTAGCCATGTTTAGTAATATAATTAATGAACTCATTCTTTGAATATTCCAATAAGGTTCTTTTTAATGATATCTTATGCACAGTTACAATCATCAATATTTTACATGTAAAATATATGTCTAGGTGGTCCCATAATTTTCAAAATGCAGAGACAGAGATTCCTAAAGAGATGGATACGGCTAACGTTTTGATCAATTAGTTCTCTATGTCTTCCTTCCTTAACAGAGAAGGATCGTCCCATAATCCTTTTAGGATGCTATGGTTTGTTATTCAGGCGAAACATGTTATGTTGTACAGGAGTCCCTAACGTTCTAAATTGAATCTCTTTGCATAATATGTGTCTTTGATCACACAGGAACAATTGCAGACATAGGAATCTATCAATGCATGAATTTATCATTCGAATTTGAGAATCTACATGTTTTGAATCCTGATACTTACGGTAAGTTCGCATGAAAGCTGATTACCTGCCCATACAGCAATGCTATCATGCATACATGTACCCAGAATTTTCTGGGGACAGCCTTTATGTCGGAAAACGTCTGCAAGCAACAATTAACAATCTGTTATGTAGAATCATTTACAGGGCGTATTGCATCTTCGTTGAAATACGCCATCGTTCTTGTTCTTCAATCTCACGTCAGACGAAATCAAAAGCACTTTCGCTTCATTTATATCTTATTACTTAGTATACAAAGTGGTTGAATAGCACACCGTTCACACAACGGCAAGGTCCTTTCATTTATTTGCCTTGAAATTATTGGAATGAATCCTATATACACGTTATGACAGTCTTTACTGCCATATTTGCAATATTTATGCTTTGGATAGTACGAGATAGATCAGCTGTTTAAAGCGCACACACAGTATGGCAAGCCAGCTCTAACAAGTCTAAAATAAAACACTACGCTACGTCGGTTAAACTGACGACTATGATGGATTATCTTGATGGTTTTGTAATACTACATGTTTATGTTCAAAATTAACTTTGCACGCGATGACAAAATGTTGGTATGGTTCCGTCAAGTCAAGAATGAGTAAAACACTCAAAACTGTAGTAGATTTACTCACAGTACGATTAGTGTCACTGGTCTTCGATGCCTGCTTCATCTGAATTTTCCGAAGAGCCATGGCTAGGCAGATGGCCGAGATCACTCCCAGTCCGCATAGGCATGCCCCTGGTCATAGTTAAATCAAATTATTAAAGTAGTCATGTAAACTAAAGATTCCAGAACTTTGGCGCCCATTATTAATTTATCTGTATCAATGTATTGAACTTTGCCTTATGTTCTTTTTCTTCTTTTATTTTTGCTCTTGATAATATGAACTTAATACCCTTAATAAATAGCGGTACAAATATTTAACTGCCAAATACCTCAATGAAACAGACACAACTTGGGACCAAGGGGTACCTGCTAACAAACTTTGAGAAAATCTATCAAGAAACAATGAAAACAAATTTACAGAGTCAAAATCAAAGATGGCTGTCTGTCAGCCATTTTGTTTTCTGATCAGTTCTCGAATCAAACAGGCACAACAAGCGACCAAGGGGAATATACACATGAAATTTAAAAAGGATCCATCCTGTTATTCTTGAGAAAGGCGATAACAAATACGGCAGGGCCATATAAACGGATGTATAGGGCGATTTGAATAACTAAGGTTTTTACAGGGAAGGTGTAACCTACCACTCCATACCGCCACTCCAAATCCTACTTTATCAGCAACAGTTGCAGACACATAGAACGTCAGGATCGAACCTCCACGTTGACTGAGTATAATGAAGGACAGTGGCAGAAGAGATTCCTCCGAGAACCAGTGGGCAACAACTCTACCTTGAACGACTGGATGAAAATATTTTTTTATATAAAATGATTTTGAATATCAAACGATGTTTTAGTTACAATACATGATAGCAATTTTCAGTACGGTGAGCAAGTAAGACAATAACCTTTTCCTTATATTGATATCGTTAAACAATGTTTATCATATCTCAGTCTACTCACAACACAGAGGTGTTTCACCAAACGCCAGTAGAATCCTCCCTGCCACCATCACTGCGTACATTGCAGTTACTATGGGGGCATGAGACACAGCACTTACGGCGAACAGGATCGACCCCAGGAACTGAAGTGACGTAAGCAAGATGGCGGATCCTTGGATATAAAGTTCAATGTTCATAGAATTAATTACGTAAAATTGATGTGACTCACATAACATAAAACAAGTACAACATCAGTTCAAAACATAAAACATTAGTTTATTCAGAATATGTTAACTAGTGCATTTTTTCTTTCTTTCTTTTTTAAATTTTTTTTTATCTAAAATTCGACATTAGGATAATGCAGCTCACGTCTTGTATCTAGAAATGATCAATCGGATCACATTACGATGTACCTTTAAATTGATCATTATAACAGCTGCTTCATTTCTCAAGAGTTCGTGAGTGATGAACTTAGATTAAAAACCTTGTTACAGAAGTATCTATACAATATATATATATATTGCTCCTTCCTATTCGAAAGCTACGAATGTTTCACTGGATTCATTATTTGCAGCTTTATTTTCACTCCGTTACATCAAGACTCTGCTCTAGTAAATCCTGTTACACTGATGTTGACACCAAGCTTGATTCATTTTGTAAACATTAACCGATCAGTTATTCCAGATTCAAATAACGTACATAACCATCAACAGTCATGGATAGGAAGGTATAAAATTTCACTAATTTTACAATAACTACTCTATTATTCCTTTATATTTTGCAATAATGAAATTAAACTTACGACCGTTGCCGAGTCTATCAATCAGATATCCAACAGGCAGACTGAGGATCGCTGATCTGCAAAATAAAGCATACTTAATGAATTGGACATTTTACTCTATAGACAAAAATCTAGTTCAGATTCGAATCTTCGTGTAAACGTCCTACATGAGTGTGAATTATGCCTAATAATAATTATGAATATTGGTAATGTGGAAAAATAGAGAGGATATCAATGAACTTATGAAGGTTATTGCTTACGTCCATCGCAGGGAGGAGTGTAGCAGATTGTAACGGACTGCTCCTAAACCGAGACACACTTTGCAGGCATTCTCTGTGTTTGTATTGTTTGTACCACCTCCAACAGTTGTGATGTCCTAAGGAATTAAATACTCAAATAGTTTTATACCATGCAAAGCATGCAGAATAACGATGTAGTGTTAGAATGTTTGCTCAATGAAAATGATTGCAGAGTGTTAGCCTACTGACCTGATGACTGCTGCAGACAAATATCTGATGCTGAAAAACATAGCTGTCGATATAGCATGATGTATTATTGATATACCTACCTCTAGTAATACAGGAATGTTTCGGAATCAGCTGATTCGTTTGTAACAGCTATCAGAATACATTACAAGCTCTTTAATTGAAATGTTCGAAACATATAATTCAGACTGATAATGTTTTATAAAGTCCTAGATAATCTTGTTATAATATATTCTACAGATCTTCTCATTTTAGCAGACACAGGAACCTGGTCTTCGCACTGCAGACCTCGTGTTTTTTAAACAGATGCAGATATCAGAAGACAACTGTAAGTTTTCTTTCTATCCTCACAGAACTCAATTACTCGTTGGAATCCCCTCTCTTTATCTCTCATTGCGGCTGACGCAATGCAATCTTTAAAATCTGCCCTTTATGTGCCGTAACTTTCCTCAACACTCTAAATCCTTCTCTATACGTACATAATTTTATCATAACAGAAAAAACCTCCAATGTGCACGTACATGTTGCAGAGAATACCTTATAATCTGGTTACGGCTTGTCATTATTTCGAAGAACCTATGTCGACCATTTAAGGACATGAAATTTATGAAACCTATTAATTTGACGGACTTACCCGACTGTTAATAACTTCGTGTTGTAGTGCTGTCGGCATGTCCACAACGAAAATGGTACCAAGAACCATAAAACTGTTGAAAAACAGTATAGCCGGTCGCCATTGTTCTAAAATAAATATATATTTGTATGTAATTTTTTTTATTATTATTTAACAGTGAGTGAAACTGATGGCACGATAAGAAAATGTTTTTGAATATAGTATTAAGTAAAACAAGTTTCACTTGTTCCTTTATGCTCTAGCTCATTTAATGAATGCTTGTGTGAAATGTATAAACATCCAGGTGAGTCATATATCAAAGTAAAAAAAAATTCTACATATAAAAGTAGGCGCCCTGCATTTAAAAATTAAAGGTTTTTTTGTGGTAAGATTAAAGCTAATCAATTCTAGCGATTGCTAGGTTGTTTAGTGACGAATGCTACAATGAAGAAGACATCTTTAAATTATTTTCACCTTCCAATATCTTAACAATTACTCGCATTAGGACCAAACTAGCCACTGCAATACCGTCAATTAGCAAGAGTTGGTGCAGAATTTCGGCCCGTGTATTAGAGTTTGATTTGCATTGTTTAGTAAATGAGTTAATTATAGAACGTCCATGGCAGAGCTGAAGTCTAAACGATATATACAATGTGTTACAGTATACCTGATCACATATATACGATATTGTATAGATATGTTTACAAAATACTGCCGTGAGCCACACATTGTGCAGCACTAAGCCATCACATGATAACGAATAACGTCGATGATTAAAGTCGATTTATTTTTGGAGAGTGTTTTCGACTGTAACATATACATATATATCACATCTACAAATGAACGTTCTCACACTAGTGTCTTTTTTAACTATAGATAACAATTTAGATTCGACGCTTGACGAACTCCATTTTCCTGAATTAAAAGTAAAATATGCTGCATGATTATTATACGTACGCATGAATTGCATTGTATAATCGTAAGTGTGTACAGTTATGGAAGTATCGTATTAAATGTATCACTTTTCTACATGTAACGTCATAATCATGTCAGTAAAGTGTTCACGAGATTGCTGTCCCGAGCCACATTCAAACTAAATTAACACAACCTACCTCGGGCAATGGAATCCTTACTACAAAAACATGCCTTTTCCATCTGTTTATACATCGATCCACATATCCACGTACATGGGAGCCATGTTGGGAGAACGTGAATAGGGATCACTTATGCGTTTTTCTAAAGCTTTAGCTAAAATGTAAATAACCACAGGAAACCACAAGCAATCAGCTGGTCATGTGGCCTTCAAGCCTGATAATGTCCTGGATAACTTCGGACAGCATGTTTCCATAAAATTATATACACACCGAAAACTGTCCATAGAGATTTAGTCATTTTGACTGAATAAAATTTTATAGGTATTACATTGTATCAAAGCGATTCGCATATATAATAAACACAAACCTGACATGTTCCGTTACACGAGATATTCCGCCTATATTCTCTCCGCTTTCCACGACATGGTAACAGATGCTTTATTGTACGACAGTTAAATCTATATTAAGTAGTATATGACAAATGTATTGCCTCGTCACGCATCGCCCCATGTGTGGAGGTGTAACACAGAATAGACCAGATGTACCCATATACATATACAACGTGATACACCTATATATATTTGCACGCTTCATCGACTCTAGAGCCGGATCTGTAATTCTATATATATATATAGATTTCGGTGGTTAACTATCATAATATCAAATATCAGCATCCTTATACATACATCTAAGTACACAGTTTAGGTTCTAAAACATTTATCAAACTTCGATGAAGAAGTAGAAATTGTCTATTTGCCTAAAACTTTGCATTGCCTAACACTTTAGCATTATACAAAATATCAGCAACCTAGTACAACATTTGAATATATCACTAGAACATTTTAATACTTGCAACAATACATTAACATGGCAACGCTTCCGTAATTTCTTAAGCATAATAATCTTTGAAGTGAGCTCTAAAAAAAGTATTAATACTTTTGTATTAATATGCATTGAACAAATACTGATGAAACAAGATTTTTTTTTTAAGTTGAAACTTTCCCCTACTTTTCTTTATCCTGTTTTCACTCTTTATAACATGAAAATGAAACCTTAAAAGGATTAGTAATAATGAATTTTCACTGTCAACTCCAAAATGGTCGCCTGTCAGCCATTTTGTAAGAATCAGAAAGCTACAACTAAGGACCACGGTGAGCCTGCATATGAAATTTGGGAAACACCTATCCAACACCTCTCAGGGGATGGCGAGAGCAAACACTTTAGAAGTCAAATTTCAAATATGGCTGCCTGTCAGTCATTTTGTTTTTCTGATCGATCCCAGAATCTAACGAAGGACACAACTATGGAGCAACGGGAGCCTACACATGAAATTTGAGAAAGCTCCATCCAGTACTTCACAAGAAATAACGAGAACAAACTTTCATTGTCAAAATCAAAAAGGTCCTCTGTCAACCATTTTGTTTTCAGACTAAAAAATAAATTATACACTAACAGGAATAGGGGGAACCTATCTATGAAATCTGAGAATTGTACAATGACTGCTTCTCCAGAAATATTGATAACAAACCTGAGAAAGATCAAAATTGCCACCTGTCGGTTCTAATATTTTTCAGACAAGTCCCAAATTCAAACACCAAACACAATTCGGGACCAATAGGAACCTATACATGAAATTTTAAAAAGCTTCATCCCGCACTTCTTGAAAAATAGTGATAACACATTTTCATAGACAAAATCAAGATGGCTTCCTGTCATTCGTTTTGTTTTTCCTAATTAGTCCCAAAATCATACGGACACTAACTAGGGACCAAGCAAAAAGCCTTTTTAACTTTTATGCTAGTTGTCTATATTAACTTTATTTCACACGTCTCATTTGGCAATATCTCAAAATGTGATGTGCATTTTCTTTCAGATAATGATAAATTAAACTAAAGGACCTGTTTCCAGTAATGTTAATTCTCCATAGGAGCCTGCCCCCGTATAATTTCTTATCTAGCTCAACTACTGTTTTTTTCTTTTCCGAAAAATAATTTTACACCTTTCCGACACCCAGATTTCATAATTTCAGTGAAAATGTATTTTTATAAAGTTGTCAATTTCAGCATCAAAGACATAAGTTCGTAAATAAAAGAAGGTTATCTCGAAATTGTAATTCGCAACATAGTAGAAATTTCTTTTGATAAATATTTCCAAAACATCGTGTTTATTTATAAAACATAAAAAAAAAATATTCTCGGATGAAAATGCACTTGCAGAGACACAATTATGAAGAAAAATGCCATAAATTTGCAATTTTTTCCCGTTATATAGTTTTGGATGCAAATTTCCATCAGAAAATCGGATAGAGCTTTACTTGTTTCATATGTGTACCAAAAATCAGCTAATTCCATGTGGTGGAACGTTCTCATATCGCCGCGAATGTGGTTGTAAATTCAAAAGAAAAGGGGAAATGAGTAACAACCTTGTCTGAAACCCTATTATATAGCTTATTATATACAAACTTTTATATTGAATATCAGAGCGGATATTTTCATGACAGTTTTATGATGTGTAAAAAAAAAATAAATAAATAAAGTACTGTTTCCCCGTGTCGACCTCGATTCCTTGAGAACCATTACGTGTGGAACGTATCAGATATCTCTGGCTCCTGGTTACATCGCCAAACATTTAAGTGATGACGGCGACTATGAGGTGTGGCTTTACCAGCACTCCCCAGACCTTCTCCGATGTCAAATACATTCTCGACACAAAAGCCAAACGAAATATAACGTTTGGATACGGTTCACCGTTTCACCCGATGTTGAGGCCCCAATAAAGGACTACTACTGCCAGTGCCCAGTTGGAGAGAGAACGATGGGAATGTGTGCGCACATCTCTAGTATCTTGTACTACCTTGGGTATTACAGGACGCTGGAAAACCCTCGACCATTACAACCACAGGTAAAGAAATTCCGACAAAACTTGAAATAGTTTTCCATGCGGCAACAACGTGCATATGTCGAAAGTATGTTTGGGGCTCGATATGAAAGATCCCCGTTACCATGTGACTATCCAAACTTATAAATATAGGTATTATACAATCGCCCGTAGCTATGAACACTCCCGTAAATGCGAAAACCAACCAAAATCATAAGGAACACGTTTTGTTTATTGTTCTGTCTATTTGTCAGCCAATGTCTTCAACCACGGGGACTTGCGAAGTAGCCATCTTGGATTTTTTTATGAAAAAGTGTTTCTCTCACTTTTTTTCATATCTGTGTACATATTCTCAACATACCGAGCAAATACTCTCGTTTTTTTGTTAATTATCGAAAGAAAGTCGAAAATCGGCAATTCAACCATAGGCTAATTCAACCCAACATTTGAAAATGTTCCACCACTTACATTTTGATGATTTTTCCTCTCATCAATAGCATATTACATACTATTTTATAGGATAAAAATTGGTTTGCATCCAACGCCCATAAAAGGGTGTATCCTCTAAAAAAAACACAGTTTTTGTGTCTAAAATGTTATCATCGAAAATGGCATTTTTGATATTGTTTCTTCCATAAAACAGCCAAATGGCGCGATAGAAACATGATTTTTTGTCACAATCATGCCATGAATGTATTCTTTACGGTGACTATCATTTGATTAGATTTTCATTAATATGTTACATAACATGCACATTTTATCAACACTTAGACAGCTTCTGAAAGGTACAACTTTGAGGAGCCATAAAAAACAAACCAAGTGACCTAAATCTTTATACTTTATAGATTTGTGGCCACAACGGCATGGGCAATGTATCACCAACAGGAAATTTGAATCAGAGAAGGGGCCGTTTTGGAAACCGGCCCTTTGAGGAAGGGTAGAGACCGGGAGTTGAATATGGCAAGTCGTGAACTTTTTTGAATTAGATTTAAAGGAGAGAATTTTACATAAGAAAAATTCCGTGTGACGATAATCAATACATTGTGAAATGGATAAAGAAGGTTTAAAAATCTCCGTTACGTTTACAACAGGGTTGGACAATAACGATAATATATAGGTATGTAGATAAAAATAAACGTGACTTCTATGCGTTTCCCATTA